TTGAAGCATGTGGTTAAAATACATTATGATTTTCGTCCATATAAAAATGTTTATATTCAAAAAATGAGAGAAAGTAGGGCATCCACAACTTCACGATGTCACTTCTCCAAGAGGTAACTCTAAACCTTTATTATGTGCTAATGTGAAAATTGTTGCCTCTGATAGTTATTTGATTGGTTGTTATTGAAAATTAAATATAGAAAACAAAACTCTTGTAGAGGATCTCAACAAAAAGAATTTTTGTGTGTTATAATAACTGAGCAAGAGGATATTAGAAAAATATACAAGGATAAAAAAATTAGTTATGAAAAATAATATGTGTAATGAATTTAGAAAGTGTATCATAAAAATAAGTCATAAGTTCACAATCATTAGTGACAAGTAGTGCGATCGTATTTAATAAAATCTGTGTCACATGCTGAACAAGTGCGTAGGCGACTTCGAAAATTTTTTTTGCCAAGTATTCTAAAAAATCACTTTGGAGCCGGGTTGCAAAAAGGTTATGGTCGTAATTTGATTGATTCTTCATGAAAAAAATAAATTGACAACTACAAAAAAAACTTATAATAACATAAGGTTGGTAAAAAAAAATTGGGTCAAGAATTGTATTGTTTACAAAAACAAAACAAAACAAACTGCAAATGGAGATTTTGAAATTTAAAGTCTTGAACTATAGTGGTAATTGTCGATTAAGAACTTTTGAACATCAAATTGGTTCAGATGTGGACGTGAGTATTGCTGTAAAAGAAAAAAGACAAACAATTGTGTTATTTTGGGATTTAAGTTTACCAAAAATTTGCTTACTCCAAAACAAATGGTTAGATTATTTAATCAATAAGTTTAGTGATCCAATTGAAATCTTATATATATATATATATATATATATATATATATATATATATATATATATATTGTGAGTACATTTGAGATTGTGAATATAGATATATAAAGTCATATCCTTATATTTAATTGTACTTATATTCTATGCTAGTTTGGTGTTTCAACTTTCTTCTTGAGAACTAATTCTTTATGTATTCTTGTTATACCTGAAACGATCAAACAAACATTAGTTCATATATTGTTTATTAACATCAAAACATGAGATTTAGCAAATCAAGGCTACCACTCACTACATAACCAAAAAAAATTCAGATTTTGAGAGATATGAAAATCCATGCCTTGCACGCTCACCAAACCTGTCCTTAGCATTTTTCTATTTTTTGGGTATTTCCCACCCATTTTTCAGCTACTTTCCTCCCTACCGCTTGCCCTCGGAAACTCTTCATCTGAAAGGTCAGCGAGAATAAAGCTGATTTTTTTAACGGTCCGTTTGATATACGGAATTGATGGAATTGGAATTGAATTGGAATTTAAATTCCATTGGATTCAATTCCATAGAATTGAATTCTTCCAATTCCAATTCATTTTTTGCACTATCAATTCCAAATCCACATAATTTTTGTACTACCAAACACCAGAATTGGAATTGAAGTCCTCAATTCCAATTCCATGATTTGAATTCCGTGTACCAAACGGGACTAAGTATCCTCTTTATACTTTGATTCAATTTCACTCCTCCGGAAGGAAAAGAAAAAAAAGGATAAATAATAAAACTCCGGGTTGATTGAAAAAAGTTGTTCGCTGCTGGATTAGGATGTCTTCCGGTTTCTCTCTCTTAATGAGTTTCTTCGATTACATCAGTTAAGATTTGTATGTATATGTTATGTATTGAGCTACACAAATTCTTTATTTGAGCGAAGAGATCAAAAAAGGCAAAGAAACATACATTTTCTTAGTATTCTGTTGTGGGGTTCTTGTGTTTTGCTGTAGAGAAAAAAAGCCTTTCAGGTTTGAGGAGGTAAAGATTCTGGCATGTCTTGTAATTAAGTTATTTCGTTGTCCTTGAATAATTACTCTCAATTTCAATGCCCTTGTGGGTTTCTTGTAATTTTATCCTCTGTTCAATTCCTTGGGGTGGAATGGATTAACATCCGATTAAAGCTATAATTTTTTTGGTTAATTGAGCTTCCAGTAAAGATTGAGTCTTGAAATTTAGTATGGGGAATCATGGCAAGAACAAGACAAAACAAAAAGGAGCTAAATCTGGCGATTCCAAAGTGAAGAAAAACAAAGGTAGTGTGGACAGCCAAGGGGTGTATGATAAGGACATGGTTGTGTTCATTTCAATGTCACGGGAATTGAAGGAAGAGGGGAACGACCTTTTTCAGAAAAGGGATTATGAAGGGGCCATGTCTAAGTATGAAAAAGCTATATGTCTGCTTCCAGGGAACCACATAGATGTGTCCCAACTCCGAAGCAATATGGCGGCTTGCTATATGCAGATGGGGTTGAGTGAATACCCTCGGGCGGTACACGAGTGTAATTTGGCCCTTGAGGTCACCCCAAATTATGGCAAGGCGCTTTTGAAGAGAGCAAGGTGTTATGAGGCAATGGATAAGTTTGATTTGGTGTTGAGAGATGTTAGAAGAGTGTTGCAGATGGAGCCGAATAATCTCATGGCTACTGAGATTGCAGAGAGGGTGAAGGCAACAGTTGAGCAAAGAGGTATTGGGCAATATTTACTTGCAGCAGTGCCCGAGTACGTTGAGCCTCCTGTTGCCTCTTGTTCTTCGAAAGCTTCTCCGAAAGGGAGGGTGCGGAGGAATAAAAGTAATAAAATTGATGTGAAGCAAGAAGGGGCTCAAGATAATAAGACTGCTAAGGATGGATTTGATGAGACCCATGAGGCAAAGAACAAGACTACAGAAGGGGGGAATGGGGAGGCAAAAGTTAAGGATGGAGCTCTTGGGTTTGAGGGTTTGAATCCCAATGATAAGAAAGTGGAGGAAAAGAAGGCCAAAATATCAGATAATGGACTTCATGTTCAGAAGAAGGCTAAAAATCAAAATGAAGGGAAGGCCAAGCACACCGACGAGGAGGGAAAAGCTGAAGATAAATTGGCAGTTGATGAAATAAAAAAGGACGTGGAAAAACTTTCTCGGTCTAGAAGAATGGTGAAATTGATATTTGGGGAAGATATAAGATGTGCCCAAGTTCCTACGGACTGTAGCATTTTGGAGCTGAGGGAGATCATACATGATCGGTTCCCAAACTCCAAATCATTTCTAATTAAATATAAGGACCAAGAAGGTGACTTGGTTACTATCACAACAAGCAAGGACCTAAGTTGGGCAGAAGCTTCTTCTGTTGAACACAGTCCTGTCAGGCTATACGTAGTCGAAGTTAGTCCAGATCAAGATCCATTCTTCAAGAAGTATTGGGGAGAAGAGAAACTGAAGTATAATGCAAAACAAACTCACAGAATTGAAAACGAAGATCTACTCAGAAGAAGCAAGGACTTGCAGAAGAAATCAACTTGTATTGACGATGTGATCATTCATTTTTCTGATCAGTTTAAGAACTATGCCGGATTCAAATGTAATACTTACCCGGATCTACAAGAACTTGGAATGAAACTCTATTCAGAGGCCATGGAAGAGATGGTGACAAGTGAAGATGCTCAAGATCTTTTCATTGCTGCTGGAGAAAAGTTCCAAGAGATGGCTGCTCTTGCTTTGTTAAACTGGGGAAACATTCACATGACCCGCGCCAGGAAAAGAGTATACTTTACTGAAGACAAGACGAGAGCAGAATTGGTTTCCGCAGAGGTCAAGTCTGTGTATGTTTGGGCAGAAAAGGAATACTTAACTGCAGGAAGGAGGTATGAAGAAGCATTGAATATAAAACCCAACTTTTACGAAGGCATTCTTGCCCTGGGGATTCAAAAGTTTGAACTGGCAAAACTCTCTTGGTACTATGCAAGTAGTACCAATGCTGATCTGGAATCATGGCCTTCTACAGAAGCATTGCAACTCTACAATGATGCCGAGGAAAATATGGAAAGAGGTATGCAGATGTGGAAGGAGGATCAAAAGAGAATGTCTGAACTAAGTGAAACACAGACCCTCTTGAAAAAAATGAAGTTGGAGTGTTTGTTTAGAGAGATTTCTGCAGACGAAGCAGCAGATCAGGCTGCAAAAATGATGTCTCAAATAAACCTTTTGTGGTGTTCCATGCTCTATGAAAGATCAACGATGGAGTTCAAACTCGGTTTGCCTGTCTGGCAAAAATCTTTAGATTTTTCTGTAGAAAAATTTGAACTAGCTGGAGCTTCTCAAACAGATATAGCTGCTATGATAAAGAGCCTTTGTTCCAACACCACTGCTCCTGAAGGTATCACGGCATTGTTTAAACCTGGTTGATTAACATTCTATTTCATCAATGAATAGCTGACAATTTAATGCTCCTCAGGCACAGGATTCAGTATTGATGATGAGATGCATGAAGCAAGAAGATGGAAGAGATATGTTCCATCTTTCCGTTTGGAACCATTACTTAGACGGAGAATTTCAAAACTCAATCCTGCCCCTTAAAAACACATAGCTAAATGAGTTTGTGGATTTGGCATATCAATGCATGTAGGAACACGAGCAACATCTACCACTGCTACATCTTCACTTCTTTATACTCCGTCCCATGTAAGTCGACCAACATGCTTCCAACTTTTTTCTCTTATATTTGAAGGAGATCGAGTGAAAGTGTCATGGCATTCTAATCACATTCATCTTTTCATTTCACTTTTTTTTAAAGGAAACTTGGTTGGTTTGTAATGGTTAGTGAGAGTTTTAGCTGATTGTAGTTTTTGGTTAGGCAGTATGTTCTTATTATTGTTTGTATTGTATTGCAATATTGCATTGATTTGTTTGTTAGTAATGATTAGTGACCTACTGTAACAATTACTATAACAGATATGAATTTCATGTTTGCCACTCTTGTACAGCTCAAAGCTTAGTGATACTCCTTCCGTTTCAAAACTAAAGTCTCATTTTTCACAATTGGTGCCTCAAAACTAAAGTTCCAATTCTATTTAAGGTTTAACTAATCCATTAAAAAGACTATAATACCCCTACATTTTCCAACCACTTTTTTCTACCCGCCCCCATCTATTCTCACCTTCATTAAACACATTACACTCTCTCAGACTCTCACGCTATCATTTCACTGGCAAATTTGGAAGGTCAAACACACTTAAAAAAAGTTGACTAAATTTGTGTGAAATCCAAGTGGGACTATAGTTATGGGATAGAGGGAATCTATTTTTCACATATGGTTGAGCATTTCGCCATTATTTTCCGTTTCATCTATAATTCTATAACAATTTCACTGTACCAAAGCTGCTCAACGTGGGAACAAGAACACCTAACCGAAATGCCCTTAGACCTCTGGGCGAAATTTCATGAGGTTCGGAAGGGCACTCAACTGAAGCTTCTTAAGCTCCTTCCCTGTCACACTGCAACAGTCTAAAGAAAGGGAGCGCAGATTCTTTAGAGACTTGAGATGCTGCAGGCCTTCGTTCGTAACACCCGAAGTTGATACATTTAGAGACACCAACTGTGTAAGTCCTGTATCATTTCTCAAGGTGACTTTATTTAGTTAGGACTAACTAATTAACATTTTGCGCGATAAAGAATGTATTGCAGGGATGAAAACATGCATACCTGACAAGTGTTCTAATGTCTTGTCTGTGAGGCTGAGGTTCTGTGATAGGTTTAGCATCATCAAGGTAGAAAGATGTTTCATAATTTTGGTTCCATCATCTGTTAGCCCACCCCCACAAACATCTAGTGACTGTAGATTTTTGAAATCTAATGAAACCACAAAGAAGTTCCACAGATCAAAAATAAATTACTTCTTACTGACTCATGAAAATCTTACAGTATATATATCTTAACTAGTTTTATTATTTTCCGGAAAAAATACAATTCAATACTGGTATAATATCAGGTCATAAGTTTCATTAGGAAATATTGATAAAACCCTAACAAATACTTCATTGGTACTGCATAATGACCTATGGAACAGTTCAAAACCCGGCACAAAGAGACCTTTAACATACATGGAAAGTATTTTGTTCCGGAATCTGTTATTTGAGCTCCAAAAAGGTCAAGGTGAGTTATTCCAGTTAACCCTGCATCTGTAAAGAGCACAAAACTTACTTGCATTTCCCACTAAACAAAAGACATTGCAGCGGGTTGAGAAGTTTCTATATGCATTTGAATTAATTCAATTATCCGAAGATAAATAACACAACAGTATATTTTAAATGTAGTAGCCTGCAAAAAAAATCACAGTTTACCAGTAAGTGCAGCAACACCCGAGTCAGTAATATGACGAATGTCCAGATTAAGCGACTTCAGACACCTCAATCCAGACAAGTTTTCCAAACCCTCATCTGTCACTAAGGTGAATGACAGATTAAGATCCTCCAAATTGATCAAGCCTAAAACATATCAGTAACTCAGATCAGATTATGAGCTCCAAAGTCCAAACATATCCATAGTTTCTTTTCTAATCAGAACACTTTACCTAAGAGGTGACGAATGCCATTATTGTCAATTTTATTATCTGATAGCTCCAAATTTCTCAAGTTAGTAAGGCCTGGAAGACAAAAAAAGAGCAGCATTTTGTTTATATTTTGTCATGTTTGATGGAGGGCAATGGGGGATGGGTAGGGGGTATTGCAGGGATATACCTGCTAAATTGCGCAGCCCATCATCTCCGATCCTACAACAATCCAAGTTCAGGCTCTCTATCTTTGTTAGCCCTGCAACACAGCATATAGCCAAGATGGATAAGAAATACATGTAGCATGAACTAAAACTTTGACACTATGTTTGGTTCAAGGAATTTAGATGGAAAACTTTTGTTTTCCTTCCACTTTTCTTTTCTTTTCCTCTCTAATCAAACAAGAAAAATTATTTTCCATCTCATTTTCTTTTCTTTTCCCTTTCAAATTCCTTGAACCAAACATAATTTGAGTGAAAGTGACATGCTGGTGAAAATCAAAAACCAAATGACTACTAGATCAGATGATGGAAACAATTGCTCCAGGAGATTTTAGACAGAGAAATCTTGATAGATTACAGAAAAAGTGTCATTTTTATGAATATACAGTGTATAATATGTTATTTAGGATGATAAGTAGCATCATACCTCAGGTTGTTTTTGAGGAAGCATTTGAAATATATTTAAAACCTGATATCTTACATTGTGTTTGGTTCAGGGAATTTCGGAAGAAAAAGTCAAAAAGTAGCAAGGAGAACTAATTTTGATGTTTGGTTGTAATTATTTTTTGAACTCTGTTTGGTTATAAATTGGAATGGAAAAGATAAGAAAATTGAGTGAAAAAGGAAAAGTGTGGAAAATGTAATATCAAAATGGAAATGTGTTTTTCCTTCCATTTTTGTGAGGAAAAAGTGAAAAAATAACAAACACCTCCCTTTGTCCCCTCCCCAGTCCTCCACGGCCCCCCCCCTCCCCCCCCCCCCCCCCCCACTCCCCAACCATGTCTTCCTTTGTTTTCTACAACAACCAAAGAAAAAAATTCCTCACTAATTTCCCTTTCTATTGAATACATTAAGGTGAAAACATATTCCATATTGAGGAAATATTATGACCCAATGCTTTCATTAATTGCTGAAAGAAGAGACTGAGATATAACCTTGTAGATGGGCCAAACATTCATCACTGATATTGTTAT